AAGTGCCATATGGGTGCTGGAAACTAGACCCAGGTAATCTACAAGAGTAGTAAGTGCTCTTAACCACTGAGCCATCTCTCCAGCTCCTTACTAGAACTTTATACATTAAAAATGTATGTTTACAGCCGGGCGGTGGTGGCGCACGCCTTTAATCCCAGCACTCGGGAGGCAGAGCCAGGTGGATCTCTGTGAGTTCGAGGCCAGCCTGGACTACCAAGTGAGTCCCAGGAGAGGCGCAAAGCTACACAGAGAAACCCTGTCTCGAAAAACCAAAAAAAAAAAAAAAAAAATGTATGTTTACTTATCTTTTCCTTATAATTACTTTAGACATTGTATGCCAGATAATCCTATATACAGCCCCTATTTTATTTTTTTAACATTTGTTTTGTGTTCATGTGTGTGTGTGTGTGTGTGTGTGTGTGTGTGTGTGTGTGCGCGCGTCAAAATACTTGTGGAGGTCAGAGGACAACTTGCAAAAGTCAATTCTCTCCTTCCACCATGTGGAACCTATGATCAAACTCAAGTTGTCAGGCTACAGTAGCTGCCCTTACCCAGTGAGCTGTCTCACTGGCCCCCACAGCCCTATTTTAAAGCTACACTGTGTATACATGCTTGTAAAAATGCTGTTGTGAAGCCAGTACATGCTGGTAATCCCAGCAATTGGGAAGTAGAATCAGGAGGTCCAGGAGATCAAGGACATCCTTGACTGCATAGCTAGTGCAAGGGCAGCCTGGGCTACAGGAGACCTTATCTCAGAAAGACAAAAAGACAAAGAAGAGGAAGGAAGGGAGGGAGAGGGGGAGGGAAAATGCTGGTCTTAGCTGGACTTGGTGATACATACCTATAGTTCCAGCTGCTTGGAAAACTGAAGCGGGAGGAGTCACTTGAGGTCAGGAATTAGGGCAGTCTGGGCAGCTGTCTTGCTGGTTATTTACTTAGTTGGAGTGTTTTGTTGTTTTGTTTTTACAGTACTGGAGACTGAGCCTGGTGTCTCTGTACTGAGCTGCATCCCCTGCTGAATTAGATTTGGGGAAGTAGTTTTGTTTCGTGTCTGTGTGGTAGGTGTGTGCCTGTTTGTTTTTGTGTTGATACAAGGTCTCATATAACCCAGGCTGGCCTCAAACCCACGATATAACTGAAGATGGCCCTAAGCTTCTGATCCTTCTGATCCTTCCCCAGGTCTGGGGAAGGAGGGAGGGGGAGTAAGAAGGTGGGGAAGTGGGGGGGGGTCAGCCCCAGGGCATGCTGGCTAGCTAAGCACTCCAACTGAGCCAGATCCCCAACCCCTGAACTGGAGTTGTAAGTGTAAAACTGGATGAGTTGATTAAACTATAGGAAGCTATAAAAGAAATGCCAATGCAGTATTGAAGAAGAGATCATTTCAGAGATCAAAGGGAAGTTCTACAGTGACGAGCATTACCTGTGCGCCATGTCAAGATTCAGGTGTAGAAAAAAGAGACAGCAGCGCTACCCTGATTACTCTGCTAGAAGTGTTGAGTGGATGTGCTCAACAAAACATCAGGAACCTTGAAGAGCTTGGTGTTGGAAACACTTTTTATAACTTGACTTCAGTGAGCAGACACTGTTCTCCTTCCATCTGAGACACATATGCCAGTTATCATGAGAAAAGGTCCCTCAGCCTGCTTGGCTTTGTTAATGGCCACCTGTAAGTTACAGGTCAGAGGAACTAACTAAATTAGTATTTCTCTGAATGAAATACAAATACAGTCCAACCTTTGGGAGTGGGGGAAAGCCACAGCACTTACAAGTATGGCAGATTGGCTAGTGATAATCTGACATATGGCAGTGCTTGCTGATCTTAGCTGAGTGGATGTGTGCTTGGTGCTTCCTGATCTTAGCTGAGTGGATGTGTGCTCGGTGCCTCCTTTTAGGGGCTGGAGAGATGACTCAGTGGTTAAGAGCACTTGCTTCTCTTCCAGAGGACCTGAGTTGTACTCTGGACCCATGTCAAGTGGCTCAAAACCATGTAACTCCAGCTCTGACACCCTCTTCTGGCGCCTCAGGCATTGGAGAAACACACACACACACATACACATTTTTAAAAATTTATAATAGTTCTACCAGGGCCTGGAGAGATGGCTCAGAGGCTGAGAACACTAGCTGCTCTTCCAGAGGTCCTGAGTTCAATTCCCAGCACCTATATGGTAGCTCACAACCATCTGTAATAAGATCTGGCTCCCTCTTTTGGCCTGCAGGGATACATGCAAACAGAACACTGTATACATAATAAATAAATAAATCTTTAAAAAAAATAGTTCTACCAAATTTAAAGGCACAATTTATATTTTTATAATAACTCATAAGATTTTTAAAAATTTTTATCAAATTTATTTAGTGCATGTATGTATGTGTATGGGCCTGTGCATGCCATATGGAGGTTAACGGACTCTATTGTCTCCTTCCCCTGCGAGTCTTGATGTTCGAACTCAGGATATCTGGCTGGGCATCAAGGCCCTTTACCTGCTGAGCCACATCACCAGTTTCCTGGAGGAGTTTTATTGAGTGAAACTCTGGTTTCTGTTGTCACTGTTTCTGCATTTGTGTCATAAATATGACATAAAACTCACTATTTTGAACATTCTTAAATGTCGGATTCAGCAGTAGCAAGTACCTTCACAAGGTTTTGTAACTATCACCTCTGTTTCATCATTCCAAAGAGAAACTCTGTAACCCATTGAGCAATAACTCCCCCTTCCTTCCTTCCTTCCTCTAGCCTCTGTGACTACAATTCTACTTCGCTTTCCGTGGGTTTGCCATGGGTTTGCCTGCTTAGGTGCCTTACATAAATAGAATCATGCAGTCATTATTATTTTATACACAGCTTATATTACCTTAATATTTTTTAAAGCTCATCAATATTGTAGCATGATTCAGAACATTGTTATGTTTGTATCAGGATCTCACCATGTAGCCCAGGGTGGCCCCAAATGCAGTATGTGGCTGAGGAGCCTCAAATTCACAATCCCCCTGTCTTAGCTCCCAGAATACTAGAATTATGGCCTAGGCCACCATGCCCGTCTGCTTTATTCCTATTTGCTGGGGGAGGCAGGAGTTACAGTACTGGGGATTGAACCCAGGCCCTCACACATGCTAGGCAGGTACTCAACCACTGAGCTGTATCCCAGCTCCACTTCATTTGTTTCCATGGCTGAGTAATGTTTTTGTTCTGTGTAGGTATCTTTTTTTTTTTTTTTATTAATTCCTCTGTTGATGCTGCTCACTTAGATTTTTACATTCTGGCTGTTGTGAACAACATTGATGTACAAGTATCTATTGGCATAACTGTTTCTAATTCTTTAAAGTATGTTCTTGTGAATGTAACTGTTGAGTCACATTGTGATACAGTGTTTAAATTTCTGAAAAGGCTAGGCATGGTGGTTCATGACTTTAGTCCCAACAGAAGCAGGTGGACCCAGCTTGATCTTCATAGCAAGTTCTAGGCCAGTCGGGACTACATAATGAGACCATGTCTCATAAACAAAAAAAGTAACTAAATAAATTTCTGAATAATTGACACACTTTTTGTACTGGCTGGTTTTATGTCAACTTGACACAAGCTACAGGAATCAGAGAGGAAGGAGCCAAAATTGAGGAAATGCCTCCATAAGATCCAGCTGTAAGGCACTTTCTTAATTAGTGATTAATAGGGCAGGGCCCAGATGACTGTGGGTGGTGCCATCCCTGGGCTAGTGGTTCTGGATTCTATAAAAAACAAACAAACAAAAAAACCAGACTGAGCAAGCCATGAGAAGCAAGCCAGTAAACAGCATCCCTCCATATCTTCCTTCTGCATCAGCTCCTGCCTCCACATTCCTACCCTGTTTGAGTTCCTGTCCTGACTTCCTTCCATGATGAACAGTGATGTGGAAGTGTGAGCAAAATAAACCCTTTCCTCCCCAAGTTGCTTTTTGGTCATGGTGTCTCGGTGCAGCAATAGAAACCCTAACTAAGACACTTTTCTATGGCAGTTGTCCCGTTCTGTGTTCCCTCCAGCAATGCACTAGAGTCCCAGCTTTTACTTCATCCTCATCAACACTTACAATTTTACATTTTGGAAAATAACCCATCCTAATTGGTATTAAGTGATACTCTATTGATATTTTCCTGATAACTAGTGGCGATAAGTGTCTTTTCACGTGCTTGTTGGACATTTATTATTTCTTTGGAAAATTTCTAATTAAGTCTTGCTTATTTTTTAAATTCTAGTTATTTTCTTTCTTTTACTTTCTTTTCTTTTTAGCTAAGGCTGACCTGATACTCGTTATATAGTCCTCAGCTTCCCAAGTGCTGGAAGTCTGAGAATGAATAATCATTCTTGCTGTATTTGACCTGTCAATCACTTCACTATTTCCATTAGTCCTCCAATAGTATATATGAAAGTCTTTATTGAATCCTTATTGTCTTAAGTATTCGATTGTAGTTCAGTTATTCTGGGTATACCTGTGTTGACAGGACTGTATCCCCTCATTCTATGATGGTAGAAACTTGGACCTTTTCTCTTCAAAATACAATTTTTAAAAAAAAAAATTGATCATAATAAATTTTAGGCCAGCCAGGACTACACATCAATGTCCTGTCTCAAACAAAGCTGGTAAAGGGAAGAGAAAGCAAACCCTGCTTAATTGAGTGCTTTAATGTATTCTAAGTAACCTTCCAAGAAATCTGGTGACTTACTTAGTCATGATCCGCATGCTACAAGTCAGAGAGCTGAAAACAGTTGCGTGTATGGTTTGTTTAACTTCCCTGATCATGCATACATAAATAGATACATCAGCATTGCAAATGGTGGTGCTACCATGTATTCTGCTAGTCATCTGCGACCAGGACTACCTTCACATTAAATGTTCTATTTTCTTCAACTTCCTATCATGGTCATGGCTTTTTCAGACAGTTTAAATCACCTAGGGAACAAGATACATTAAGAATGAGTGAGCCAATAGGCCTCTACTGTTAAAGTACCACTGTATCTGTTTCCTCAGGAAATTACTACAATCAAGGAGAGATTCGAAAGAAAGAACTTTTGCAGAGCTGTGATGTTTTGGGGATTCCACCTCCAAATGTAACGATTATCGACAACAGGTAATTTGTCCTTTCATAATGGAGAAGTCAGTTGGCAATAAATATGTATTGGTACACTGAAGAGACACAGACCTAACGTGAGTGTAAATCCTCATTTCAGAGGTCTGCTTTACTTTTGCTGTTGATTGGTTTTGGTTGGTTTTTCAGACAGGGTCACAACGAAGCTGGGGTGATAGTTATGTGCTGTTTGGATCAAACCCAGGAGTTTGCACATGCTGAGTCCTTTACCAGCCCAACTCCATCTCCAGCCTCCTGTACCTCCTCATAAGTTTTCTGTCCCAGGCCTGGAAGCAGCAGTTTCTCCAAGGCTTGGTTGTTCTTTGCAGGGGAAACGTGTAGAGACTCTTAGCTGCACAGTGTTAGGGTGTCAATATTTCTCATTGTTACCTGACCTCGGGAATGGGCAGAAGAACTAGGACATCTATCTTCGTTTGTTTGTTTGTTTGTTTTGGTTTTTCGAGACAGGGTTTCTCTGTGTAGCTTTGTGCCTTTCCTGGAACTCGCTTTGGAGACCAGGCTGGCCTCGAACTCACA